TGTGTGTGTGTGTGTGTGTGTGTGTGTGTGTGTCTGTGAGGTAGCAGTGTGTTTCAAGCCCCCTCCTTGTACCGACAGCTGTGACCAGAGCCAAACAGGGCAGAGCGGAGATTGATGATATTGGACTAATACCATCATTCATCAGGGATGTGATATTTCAGGGATCCTGGATTTGTTTGGGATGTGCTGCCTCCTTCATTTCCAGTGGGACTGTGCCACCTTCTTGCTTCACTTCCTGCTGGATGACTGATGATTTACATCCATCATCTACCAGTGTATAAAGGTTAATCATGGCCACAGCAGTCACTATATTCCCATCTGTCTCTTTTAATGTAATTTCTACAACAAAACACTGGAATGGAAACAAAATAAATGAATACAGAGAAGTGGAAATAATAAAAACTTAACTTAGAGTTATACTCGATTTTGCTTCTTCTACCTAAGATGAAGCATCAATGTCACACGGCAACTCACTACAACACGTCTCCTCTTCACCAGAATGTCCAAAATGGAAACTATTTTTCGGACATGAACTCCAGAGAACATCCGAACAATTGGGTCCAGACGTTTTCTGGAGGTTTGATTGTCTGAGTCAAAAGTGCCGACAACAACAGGAAAATATTTAGGTGACGGGTGGAATCTGGGTAGAGCATGCAGGAGGCAGGAATCACATGTTCTTGTTTACAGCACATGAACACCGGCATCGGCCCTTATCGCCAAATGCTCTAGAATGATATCATCTTTGCAAGTTGACATGTTCGTTGGCGTCTTCGACATGTATGACGACACTTTTCTCCATTAACTATTTGTTTTGTTTGCCGAGACTTTTTTCTCCTACACCATGGGCTTCTTGTTGCACAGCATAGACCAGATTCATTAATCAACAGTCATCTCATTTGGGCAGCAGCAGTTACATCAGCCTGCAAAACAAAGGGACATCTATCTTTTTACCATGTGCTGAGCCCAAATAACTCACAGACTCACAGCACAACTAATGACTACTTTGAAATCTTTTTACTGAATCGGGAAAAGGAGTTTTTAAACAACACAAAATGTTCTTCACCAGATGCAGTAAAGTAGAAGCAAAGCAATGTTGCGAGGCAGAAGAGTCAAGAGAGAAACTCTGTGATTTACGAGCATTGCTGGTATTCGGTTAATTGCGGCCTCTTGAAAAACGAGACACTGAACGCGTGCTATGTTTTAAAAGAACATACATCCAGTGGCTAGCATGACACCCCGACGTGTAGTTGATATGTTTTCCTGACAGCTCGGTGTGTCAATCACGCCCCGTCTTCCGTGTCCCTCGTTCTTCGAAACTCTCTGACAACTTAACCTAAGTCGCTGTGTGTCGCTAATGCATTTTCCAACCCCCTCAAACTCACACACACACACACACACACATGCTAATGGGGGATTAGCTAATGAATTCTCTCAACAGATTAATTACATTGCTTGTGTGCGCTCAGACTTCATCCCCAAACGGCAGAAGAAATGAGCCAGTACTTTTCAAAGAGATGGGTTTGTTTTGTTTTTTTTCTTTTTTAAATCTATCACTAAATTGAAATCCGTAGAAACAGATTGGCTCTGGGCAAAGTGGCGTTTTATTTGAAGAAGAAGACATTAAGATGGATGTGAAGGATGGCGGAGTGAGGCATTACTTTTAACGGTTAAATAAATAAAAACAGCCCTTTGATTTGGCGCCATTTTAACATGGCATGAGTAGAATGAGGCCTCTTTCTAAAATCTAAATGAGAGGCGAACATTTCACATGTCTCGTCTGTGTTACCACTGTACTCCGCGGGGCGTGAAAGCATCGGCCTCCCTCTTCCTCTTTAAATGACAGCAACACACATTCACACGCAAGAGGCATGACAGAGAAACACACACACACTGACACTCCCTCCTGCCGTTTTCACAGTCTCTTGAGTGGAGGAGATGCCCACGGCCAAAAACCAATGGTTGCACTTCTTGTTATTTTTTCTCTCCTCTTCTTGTCCTCTTTCTCACTATCACTCTCTTCCTCTCGCCTTTCTCTGGGAAAACAGACAATTTTTTATTATTCATCTTCCAAATGGAGCAGGAAAGTAATTATAATTAAACCAACTTGGTTCTAATGCTCAAAAATACTAAAATAATTTCCGATTATAATTAAACCAGCTCAGTAGAGGAAGCGGTCGACTTCTAATTCGTCTAGAGACGCTAATGGAAAACAATTATTTCACTTCATTAAGATTACAGACGCCGGGAATCTGTGTCACAACTCGATCAGAGAGGAGACACATTTAGAAAGTTGTCAAATTACCGTGAAGTCAGTCGTCGACTTCGCAAAGACTCGTTCACATTCATTACGCTGACTTCTTCTGCGATAAAGTTAAAACCAAACAGCCACAAAAACAACCCGATAACGAGAGATGAGAGAGAGAGAGTCATATTTACATAAACGCCATCATTTATAGTTTCCCTTTCTAAATGGGAAATTAGAGGATAATGACAGAAATGAGGCAGATCCAGAGAGACGACGTGTTAACGCAGACTCTGAGTGACGCACCGCTACATGCCTGCTGTTGATGCATGCCATCGGTGAAACAGGAGCTGGTGAAGCATGAAGACACACATTTGATTCCCAAGTGATTTTCTTTCATCATCAAGTTAATAATCGCCAATAATCTTTTTCTCAGCGACGGGTCACATTGGCTGCATTATTGATCTGCCCACTAACCCCGCCAGCCTCATCACTTACACATATCCTAATGAAACGGTGGGATAAAAGTGCTGCCACAGAACTGACTGATCCACCAGGCTCTGCACGCTCTCTGCACCAAGATCTTGTGGTGGATTCACAGTATAAGGCAATTAATTCCTATAAACTGGTTATTTTCACTGCAATTAAACAATACATTTTCCCCCTAAATCACTGTACTGCAGCTTGCTTTTTGAAACTAATTTTATAGAAACAATCTAAATTTTTTATTCTGCTAGAAAAACAACTCTTTTACCCCCGTCCCCACACTAATGACAACCCTCCTCCCACTCTATGTAAAGCAGCATCAAGCCAATAGCATTTACTTGCAAATTAACGGCACTCTAATTCCCAAAGAGGCCTCCAAGAAGAAATTCCACACATTCGTTACCCACAGGACCAAATGGCTGCAAGGGTGGAGGGGTGGGTGGGGTAGTTACACATAGGAGGAGGGGGGGGGGCAGTAAAACAGCTCACAGATGAATTGGTAATTAATGTGTAATTTCTATGCAAATCATTGAGAGGCCGGAGCTGGAGAACAGTGGAGCAGAAAACGACATTGTTACACAGTTTCTGGTTATTTCCAGCACTTAAATGGAGCGTGATGTGTCCTTTATTACATCCCGACGTGGCCTCGGTGTGAGTTTTTGGAGGTCAACTTGGAAAACAGCTCTCTGTGTGTGTGTGTGTGTGTGTGTGTGTGTGTGTGAGTTCCAACAACAGCTGAATACGGAAATAAAAACGCACAGCAGCCACGCAGACACAGGTAAAGAAAGAGTTTGCGTGACTCAGGGGAGATATTTGTTGTGTGTTTTTTCTCTACGTGGCGAGTTCCTTTATCGGACCTCTGCAAACGCACGGTCCCGTTTCAGCACCGAGCACATGCACGCACCGCTGCGGGGTTTTTTGTCCGTGCACTGTGCGTGTTCCTGCAGACTGGACGCAGGAGAGAGGAGAGCAAACGACTCACAAACTTGCAATCCTGCAGCGTGCATCCCCGCATGGGTTTTACCTTCTGAATACTCAACACCCCGGATCTCCGCAGATTCCCTCACTGTACACTTTATCACGGGATGAAAAAAAGTAACCGCTCCTGTGCACATCTCTCATTTCACCCAACAGGCGATCGGCGTGCACGCTATATCCCAAACATTAGGTTTTATTGCGTAAAGCGCGGATAAAAGTTGGAGCATGGATCGTTTGGTTTGCAAAGAGCGAGGAGCTCACGGACGAATCGACCGCTGCCTCACACACTCACACACACACACAACAGTCCTCTAGTGATCTTTTTACACCACAATCCTTATACAGCATATATATGTATATATATATTATACAGTATATAAAGTACAAGTAGCCTCACGTGCATTTAAAGGAGAATAAAGGTGGTAATAAACTCTGCTCGGGTGCAGCACCGCGACATTTAGAGAATCGAGGAGAGGAAACACCACAAAGTGCAACCATCGTTATAATAAACACGTTTGACACAGATCACACATGTGACATTACATGTGTGATCTGTGGCTTTTACGCAGCGATCGTGCACACATGCAACTTTTTTCTGCATCCACGCGCTGCACGGATCAAAAGTGGACGATGTCTCCACGCACGAGATCAACCCTCCTCTTGTAATGACGTTATGATCAGGTATCGCAAAAATAAAAAAAGATGAGGCAAAGGTTGTGTCATGATCGCGGAAGCAAGTGAATGCACCTCGGTTCGTTTTTGGGATGTTTAAAATCAGACCAGCTGTTTAAAAAAAAAAAAAAAAAGATCTGACCGAGAGTCCTGCGATGAGAACCTAAAGAGTCAACTAAGTTTTAAACCTTGAGGATAATAAAAAAGTTCGCAGTCTGCGCAATGAGCTCCGTGTTGCCCATCGGTTCCAGTGAGAGCCGACCACCTCACCCAGGCTCGGATACGCCACTTGCGTAAAAACGAGAGAGACAATTTCGCGATGTAATTGCAACCAAAAAAAAAAATCTACCACGCAGAGAAAGTGCGCAAAATGTGACAATTGTACGTTTCCAACGAGGAGGCTAACTTTTTTTTTTTTTTTTTATTTCCTCCCGCACCTAAACACACCTGTGACGAATGCGTGAGCGAGGATGAAGCCGAAAAACGAACGAACTTTAAAACCGCGCGGGGGAGAAGAAGAAGAAGAAGAAGAAACATTGCGGGGCTCGTGTTTGCGTGTTGTCTCACCTGTCGGCATCTGCGCGGACACCGTGGAGAGGAGAAGAAGAAGAAGAGGAAGGAGAAGAAGAAGTCCCAGACGTTCACGGGAAAGTGTATCCATGTTTTCAAACGTGGCCGAGTCCGTGACAGTCTCCCCCCCCCTCCGGAGCAGGAGAAAAGGAACCGAAAAAAGTAAAAAAGTTTGCTCTTCACTCCTCGTCCTTCTTCACTCGTCTTTTCTCTCACTCTCACTCTTCCTCTTCGTGTTATTCCTCCCGTGGACTCGGACGCTCCATTCTCTCCTTCCTGCGCTTTCCCGTCGCTTTTTCTTTTTTTTTTTTTCTCGCTTCGTTGCGGGCTCCCGCGGACCCGAGTGAGGGAGCGCGCGCACGAGAGACACACAGCGCGAGAGAGAGAGGGAGAGAGAGGGAGGGAGGTGTGTGACGTCACGAGGCAGGAGTCCGTTTCAAAACCAGATTAAAAGAAACAACGTGTGAACAGCGAGGATCCGTTGTTTTGTCCCGTTTGTGCGTTTTTCTTTCCATATCTGTTCTATTTCTATTCATCCTGAAAACATTTCACACCAAAGTCAAAAGAAACTAAAAAAAAAAGAATTCCCATGTTAAAGGTGCAGTGTGTAGAGTTTTGTTGAACACCCCTCACCTCCCCCTCTCCCTCCAAACACGAAGAATAAACTGTGGCAGCTTCAGTCGTCATAAAAACTCAAAAGGTGTTTAGTTTGTTCAGTCTGGACTAATGTGAAAAACATGGCGGCCTCCGTAGAGACGGTCCCCTCCATGTAAATATAAAGTATTTAAATATAAAGGGTCTTTTCTGTGGTAAAGAAAACTACAATTCATACAATTTAGATGAAACGAACTAATGAAAACATCATGAGGATTATTCTACATTACATTTCTGACAATAGTTTCCTTTCACCTGAATCTTACACACTGGACCTTTAAAGGGATGGTTCACCCAAAAAAAGGAAAAAAAATCCATCTTTATCTACTCACCTCTATGCGGATGGAGGGGTGAGTAAAGTGTTTGAGTCCACAAAACACGTTTTTGGAGTTTCAGGGGTAAACAGTGATGCAGCCCAAAATCCGATAAATCTGTATTGGAAAGTATAACCTGGATATAAATTGATAGATTTATGTCGCGGCGAGTTTTGCTGACTACTTGTGTTATTTTTCTCTCCCTCCCCAGACGGTCAATCGCTCAGTACAGGAAACAGATGTCCAAAAGCACCAAGTTCATCAAGAGTAAGCCATCTCACTAATTCATCTCACATGAGTCTTACCACTGAACATATTTACCTTCTGTCTCTTATGTACATATAGTCAGTCTATGTCACGGACCAAACTGTCTTTATAACCGTTTGTACAGAGAATATTCAAATGTAATGACAATGAGATGCAAATGAAGACACACAGATCCTGTATCTCGTGCAATGTCAGTTATGACTGGATTTCATTATTGAAATGTTCACGTGGAATCAGTTTTTCAGTGGAATCTAAACCAAACATTATATTTCCCTGTGTGAATTCTGCTCTGCGGTGATTTTAAGTTGTTCATATCTCTCCCACCATTGTTTTTTACATCATGTTGCAACTCTTATCCGGCTTCAGGTAGCAAATAACAGGGGAGGCAGTCATTGCTGTGTAATATCGGATCTGGACTGAAAACTAGTCTGCACGAAATATTTCCTGTGCTGGAAAATGGACAGCGAGCACAAATAGATTTTATATTTGGAACCACTGGACGACCCTGTTCAACCCCCGACGCAGGTACATTGTTCCTGTGCAGACAATTTCCAGCAATCTAACCTGTCACCGCGCTCAGTGGAACTCACCAGTGCAATTCTGAGCCCAAATGTGCTCCATCCAGCGTCTCTATGATGGATTACACAGAAGCTCCCTCTGTTTTCAGTCCAAACCCTGTACGGACAGAAAATAACTTAAATATCAGACAATTCCGCGGATCCCATTCAGTGATGTAGTTTAACATCCAGGTCCAGCTGTGGTTCAGTTCAGTGTAATTCAGCACGGTTCAGTGAGGGCAAGGTTAGAGGGAAAACTGTAATTGCAGTTAACAAAAAGGCAAATGTCGACTGCAGCATTGTAACAGGACGCAAATTCACAACCACTTGTGTGAAATCTTTGTTCACCGCCCCCAGCTGCAGACCAGACCTCGGCAACTGTCTCATGTGGATGTGATTGCGGGATAAAGGAATTCGTTTACAGTTTCATAATGAAACAATTAGAGGTTAAATCTTTGCACAATTAATCAAAAATTATGAATTCTCACCTTTTCTCCCACATTATGAGCATTCTGATATATATCACACTCAGTATCAGGATGTGCAACTGCTTACTGTTTCAAATCTAGGTGGTACAAGCTGGAACATCTCATATTTTCCAAGGGTCATCTAATGGCTAATGGCTTCAGCTTCCTCTCTTCGAACGCACTGGTGAGTCTGCAGTTTTTTGCCTCGCTGAAGGAAGGGAGGGAGGGAGGGAGGGGGGGAGGGAGGGGGGGTTTGGCAAAGTCGACCTGTTGTTCTAACCCAGACTGAAATATTAGCAACAGATCTCCATGAAACGTCTCACTGATGTTGCCAGAGGAGGAATTGCGCAAGTTTTGGTGATTCCCCAGACTTCACCTCTTATTACCGTGCGTGTCTGCTTAGCCAAAATGTATCTGTGCAACTTAGAGGACGATGGAATTTTCTTTATTACAATATAATATAAGTATTGAACATCGTACCTGCTAAAGCATCAGCCTGTTAACATACCAGGTGAGGCCTCAGATATAAAGTCAGCTTTCTCTATGACCCCATCTTGACTGAGGACTCGCTTCTTATTTGTTGAGGAAGGACAACTCCTGTCTCTGTCTGTCATATACTTTATTTGAAGTTAGACAGAAAAGTCAAGACAGACGCCTCTTGTCTTGTCCTCTTGGATTCAGGTTCATTCAGAAAGCTGAATAATTTGCAATAAGTAGAAAATGGAAATGCAAAACCCATCAGCCTGCACAGTATACCCCGGCGTGTCCTTTCAGTTTAGGATAAAGACTTGAATTGTCGCTGCATTATAATGTACAGTATACCACACGGCCCTGACTCCACTCACAAGTAATTGAAGTTGACCTGAGCGTGAATAGAAAACAGCAATTTAAGTTTTACTTTTCTGAAGCACAACCTTCACTCCCACCCTAAAAGTCTTTCAGTGTTTGATTCACCTAAAAACTATTTTGCTGAATTCAACCATTATAAAGAAAAAACCCTCAGATGTGACAACTATGTTGATATTTCATCGAAAATAGAAGAAAAGTGATCTAACGAAATTAATTAAATCGCATAAAGGCGTTAAGAGATAATTCATGCCGTTAATACAGCAAAGTTCAAGAATTTACGTTTACCGAATAGATCCTGATTTTTCCTTGATTTTGATTTAGTATATTATTGTTGTTGTTGTGTGTCTGTGAGTGTGTGTGTGTGTGTGTGTGTGTGTGTGTGTGTAGCAGAAACAAATCTGCTCTTTGTTTGTGTTGGTGAGATCAGATTATTGAGAATTAATGCAAATTACAGAGGAATGAAACTGACCTCAGACAACACTGGACCTCACATTATTTTTGGATGAGGACGTTGTGCCCTTGTCTNGGAAACATCTGTCACTGCTTCAAACCAGAAATATAACATCTGCTACGACAGCGGAGGAGAGTTTATGTGGGAAAATGGATTTAAAATTGGTGATAAAAGCATTTGTGAATAAAAGGTTTTCAGTCTACAATAAAAAAAAATGTCACCTGATGATGTAGATGTGTATTTCTATATTTAAAAAACCCTCTGGTGCAGCTTTAATGTTTTTACTGCAGAACAAAGCTGCATCGTATCATTTCCTGTATACCTTAAACCGACCTTACCAAAATAAAGCCATCGTCAAACACATTCAAACCTCACTAATGCTTCAGTTGTGCACACATGGTTTCTTTGCGCTGTGCCGACAATGTACGGAGAAGGAAAAAAAATGATTCCCTGTTGGACAAACTTGAAGAAAACTTTGTGGAGGCCTTGTGTGAAGCAGCTGAACTTTATTTTTGTCGCACATTTTCTTCCAAATGTGCATCCTGCCAATGTATGTGCATGCCCACGGAAGCTATGCGACAAACGACATAGCCAAGAATGTTAAATTTAACCCGGATCAGATAGTCTCTCTGATGTTGTTGTTGAAGTTTTGAAGCCTGTTCGTCGCTTCACACGTTTTTTTACTCTTTTATATATTTGAGTTTGTCCAATCAGCCAGGAGAGAAAACAGTTCACCCTTCGACTGTAGCCATTGAACAATTTGGAATGATTTTGTCCAGCGACCTTGAGTTAAAACGCTGTGACCTTGAGTGAAAGGATAATCTGCAAGATCATTGTTCCAAATATTGGAAATGAGAACTTTCATCAAGAGAAGCAAAACAACTGGAAACAGAAAACAGCAAATATTGGACCAAATCACATGATATTGCTAAAACCTGTTGCTTTTAATGATGAGCGTATAAAAGTCAGCAGCTGTAGTATCTGAACTCTGAAGAATCAGTGTTTGTGTGTGTGTGTGTGTGTGTGTGTGTGTGTGTAGCAGAAACAAATCTGCTCTTTGTTTGTGTTGGTGAGATCAGATTATTGAGAATTAATGCAAATTACAGAGGAATGAAACTGACCTCAGACAACACTGGACCTCACATTATTTTTGGATGAGGACGTTGTGCCCTTGTCTCAGTCGCATGGTCATTCTGTCCTCTTTAATGATGTGACGTGAGAAATACCTTCTCTCCTCTACAGTTTGTAGTTTGTCGTGATTGTCTATAAACCCAAGTTTATTTATTCAAGCCTGTATGTTTGTGCGTTTGTTTATTGGTTTGTTTATCTGCAGGATTACTCAAAAAAACTGGGCCCATTGGGCACTTTCTTCTAAAATTGTGAGATTTTCACCAATTTCACCAGGGAACAAGTCACTGATCTTCATGAGAAAATCTGTTTAGGGGACTGATATCTATGAGCGCATGTTATTTGGTGCAGCTTTATTGAATTCAAGGGGACTGATGGGCCTTGGCGGAGGTATGTGCTCTACAGAAAGCCGTTCTTGTGTTTGGGACAGGACGGCAGCACCTTTCACCTCCGATCAGAATAAAATAAAAGAGAGAAAAATGTGGATGAAAGTGTTAAATGAAATAGAAACCACTTCTGAAGGACAGGAGCCAGAAAGCCACAGCAAATAGATGAAAAAGAGGAATCAAATCTGAATAAAAAGAAAACAGAACACTGCTAATTGTTTCCCTTCAAAAAAAAGATTAAATAGAAACAAAACAAAAA